TGAAACAACCAGACTAGTGATTGCAATAGCTGCTAACAGGAATTATCCTCTGATATATTTAGATGTAAAATCTACATTTCTGAATGGTCCATTACAAGAAGAAGTATATGTGTCACAACCTCCTGGATTTGAGAAAAAGAATCAAGAAGGGATGGTGTTCAAATTACATAAAGCCTTGTATGGATTGAAGCAAGCACCCAGAGCCTGGAATCTGAAGATTGATTCATTTTTCAAGGGACAATGGTTTCAAAAGTGTGAGATGGATTATGGTGTTGATGTTTAGCACACTTCAGAAGGTAATATGATTCTGGTATTTTTGTATGTTTATGACATATTGCTCACAGGAAGTTGTGAACAAGAGATAGCTGAGTTCAAGAAGGTTCTGATGAATGAGTTTGAGATGAGAGATCTTGATGAGTTTCTTTCTAGGGATGGAGTTTATGTACTCTAAGAAAAGAATCATTTTGCATTAGATGAAGTATGAACTTGAGCTTCTGAAGAGATTTGAGCTAGAGAATTTCAAAGTTGCTATCACACCTGCTGATACGAATCAGAAATTGGACTGTGATTCTGATGGAGAGGATGTGGATGCTACGACCTTAAAACAGATGGTTGTTTCTTTAAGGTATTTGTGTAATATCAGACCTGATATTTTCTATGCAGTTGGAATGGTTAGCAGATTTATGAGTAAACCAAAGTGGTCTCATTACCAAGCTGCTGTCAGGATTCTGAGGTATGTGAAGGGAACTCTGAAGTATGGAATGTTATTTCCTTCTAGAAGAAAGATAGAATCATAACTTTTGAGTTAATCAGACTCTGGTTGGTGTGGAGACAGAGTTGACAGAAGAAGTACTTCTGGGTACTTATTCAAATTTCTGAGAGGTCCTATTTCTTGGTGTTCCAAGAAGCAATATGTTGTTGCACTGTCAACCTATGAAGCTGAATATATTGCAGGAGCTCTGACTGCATGCCAAGTTGTGTGGATTCTGAAATTGCTCCAAGATTTGAAGATTGAGATAGACAAACCTCTAAAGCTAATGATTGATAACAAGTCTGAAATCAATCTTGCCAAGAACCCAGTGCTGCATAGGAGAAGCAAGCATATTGAGATCAAGTATCACTTTCTGAGGAATCGGGTTCATAGTGGAATATAAGAAGTTGTGCACTGTAGCACTCAGAAGTAGCTGACAGACGTTCTGACAAAGGCTATTAAGACTGATCAATTTCTTTGTTTGAGTGATGGAATTGATGTTGTCAATTTTGTGTAAATATAAATTAAGGGATGGTGTTGGAATTAATTTATATTTTAATTCCTCACATACGCTACGTTTTTGCAAATTTCTTTTTTTTCTTTTCAATATTATTGGTGATCTTTTGGTTTCGGCCAATAATTTTATATGAGACCCCACCCTTTTTTTTCATTTCTATTTTTTATTATTCGCTATTTAAACCGATGATGAATACCCGATGGAGTTTTTTTTTTTTTACTAACAATTTTCAACCTCTCACTAAAACAAAACCTGATACATGTTTTTTACAAAACCATACACATCATTCAAGTTTTTTTTTACACCATATTGTCATCTTCTAACTTGTATCAAAATTTCTCACAGAATAAATTAACAAAGAAACACAAAGAAAAGATTGTTGCATATGTAACGCGGTCAGAATAAAAAACATGTTTTTGTTAGAATTCTCGTTGAACAATTCATAAAATGTTGTTATTGTTGATAAATCTCTATATTACTAATGCCTTTTTTTAGTTAATTATTTTTGTTTTTTAATTAAAGCACATGCCACATGTTTATTTATAAGTGGACTGATTTTTGTTATTGGAAACTCAATTTTTTTAGCACAATAAGCACCACTCACTAATGTTGTTATTATTTGTTGTGTTTTATTTATTTATTATTAGTTTTAATATCTAGAATTAGGGTATTCTATTTTGGGCTTTGGGGTTGTTTTGTTGTTATCATCCACACCACCCTACTTTCAATATTACACCCCTAAATCTTAATTATCTAATTTAGTCAGTTTTTGGTTATAATCAATTTTAGTTAGTCATCAATTTTTTTATTAGGACATAAATCATAAACCTAATCCAACTCCTTTTAATTAAATTAATTCAAAAATTCTATAAATAGTAGGATGTCCATCTTCGAGTAATTAAATCGGTTGACACATCGTCTACCGGTTTATTATTCAAAACCAAACAATTAACTAATCCAATATTTTTATTAATATATATTTAAATCCACACAACTCATCAAATTTGCCATCTGCGAGTGACGCGTGGCTAATATCTAGCCACGTAATGAGGAGACTATATCGGACTCCCCGTTATGTGTCCTACCATATTCACTATCAATCAAACATCAAAATAGCTAACCAACACCAAATCAAATTTTCACTAACATAACAAAAACTCAAGATTATTTTCGAAAAAGAATTAAGAAGAATTAATTTCAAATTAACTATGAATTTCGTCTACGATCACTCAACTTACAACCCATACAAGGTTCAAGGATAATTCGAAAGCAATTCTACATAATCCATAAAAAACACCAACCAAACACTGCGAACTACGAATTTGGACTCTGATTCCTCATAAGAGGATACGTAAACATACGACTAAAATCATAGCGAGTTCCCTTAATAAAAATTTAAAACCCTATTTCCTAAGCCGTAATTCTAAACCCTAGTATCCTTGTGATCAAGGTAGATGATGGTTGCCTAACACCTTCCCTTCGTCTAAAATCGAGTCAAAAACATAGAATCTCTAACTTTTTAGGTTTAACCTTTATATTCTCTTCCTTAAGATAAAAATTAAGGGTGGAGACTCTCATTTTAAAACCAATTACAACATACATTAATGTCCCTACTCAGGTTACACTATCATACCCTCAGTGAGTTACACCTGTGCATCGTATCAAGAGAATTACACTGATCACAACACGATGAGTCATATCATTCTTAAGTGGAATTCAATCTGTGACAAGTTCCTTGAGTTACATTTTCCGATGTGGTGTCACAACTCGTCCATCATCCAAATGCATTTGATTAACTTCCAGTACAAAAACGCCATCTCGACAACACAAGCCGACCAGGCGAAAGCCTAATGGTTTTGCCTACATGGCACCATTGGAGGTGAGTTAGAAATCCACAAAGTGATATCGCCTACATGGCATCACAATCCCACCATACCAAGCACGCGATGTTATTAAATGCTGGTGGAAACGCTTCTCATGGGCCCAAACAAGTGCATCACAATAGTAGCTCAGGTTTTTATGACATACCGAGAACGCATATGCTATTAACTACTGGTGGAAACGCCCTATCATATCGACTCACACAAGGACATCGCAATGGTACAATTAACACACAAGGTCTATGTCATGAGTGATTTACCACCTAGTATCCAGTCATACTTTGATTTAAGCATACATTCACTGAGATCACACGGTATGGTATAAATAACCACATCAAGCCATACGGAAAATGCATTCGAACATTCAACCAGAACGACAGGAAACCACAATTATCCATACAACTTTATTTATCACATAATACATTTTCATCATATACATGTATTAAGCATGCATAATCAACAAATGAACAATTAAGTGAACATACACAACATCATACGCATTCGAATACAATTCCATGTTTCACGAAAGAATACATAGGCGTCTGGTTCACACATTAGAACAGAACCGCATTTAAAGGAATTCATAAATTCAAGGTTCCAACAAAACACCCATAACAAGTGTTAAAATAAGTGGTTTCTATAAGGCCTCTTTTTGCCTAATAATCCACTCATAGAAGTCATAGAAGACTAAGGATACATCCGATTATCGTTACAAGACAGTAGTGCACTCCATGAGTGAATTCAAAATCTTGGGGAAATTACTTCCGCGCTAAGCATGGTCGTCAGCGCGACCTGTAGTTTTTATTCTTTCTCAATTTCTAATAAAGCGCGTTAAGAGCGACCACACGCGTTGAGCGCTATTCGCGAAATGCAAACAGAACAAGATTATTATCAGTTCTGTCACGGGGTCCTCAAACCTCATTTCTACCTTCCATCTCGGGTACCCACAGTACACAAACATGAATTTCATATTAGAAACATGTTATTCATCAATAAATATCAACATGCATTAACAATTTCACTTCAAACCCTTCCCCAAAATCATGTTAACCCTTAAAACCCCAAGTTCCTATCTAATGGAACTTACCTTGCATCAATAGGGGTTAAGATGATATTCATGTTGTAATTGAACTCCTCTCTTGACCAAAACACTACCTCCACCATCATCAATTTTGTAACCACACTTTGACCCATTTTTAGCAAGAATATCCCAACTACAAATACGTTTTTTTCCATGCTCACAAATATTCAGGATGAAAAGTTTATATGCAAAGTATAGGGAATTTTGTAAGCTTTCCGAAAAATCAAGACTCCGCTCAATTGGAGTCACGAATAGAAAGATATTACCTAATTTGTAAAGATTGACCTTATGTGTGCGAAAATGGAGTTTGGAAATGAGAGACACGACTTCTTCTTTCTCTCTCTACTTTCTATTCTAAAAAATCTGATTTTTGTGACCATCCACCAAACAAGCCCTTAAGATCCCATGCAATTATGTTTAATGACCAATTTTCCCTTCAACTAAGTAGTATTAACAACCTTGCAATTTAGTTTCTTTCTTACTAAATACTTGGATTCCAACTAATCCATTTACTCTCTCTTAATACTCTTAATATAACATGCTTAGACGGATAAGGTATATTACATTCTTCCCCCTTTAAATAGAAAGTGATCACAAGAAAACAACATAAGAATCAAATGTTAGGCAAGGGTGGAATTGAATATTATGTATCATGTACAAGTAGAACTTCTTTAGCAGGAGTAGTAGGGAGCAAATTGATCATAATCAGAAAGAGAAAAGTTATTTACATAAATTGTTGATCCAAATAAATCGTTAGTCCAAATGAAACCTTCACTCATCTGCAACAGCCAGATTGTACTTTCTTGCCAAGGTATGGGCTGCTCTGTCAGTCATAATGCTTTCTATCATCTTATACTTTTTGTAGTGAACTTTAAGAGTTTCAGCCTGCTGGGTTGATAACTTCTCTTCTTCTTTTGATAGAATCTAAAAAAATTATGCAAATAAGCACATTTAGAACATAACACAGAATCTCACAGCAGACATCAACAAACAAATATACTAATTAATCAGTGTTATTAAATAACAGATATAGCGACACTGTAGCTTAGTGGTATTTTAACAGATATATTTTAGCGGTATATAATTGAGTACAAAATGTTGTCAGATCACGGCTATAGCACTATAAGGTAGCAAAATTTGAACAGCCATTGTTTTTTGCAATCTAGATTGACACAATGCTCCAATCATCTATGCAGAGTGTTTGCGTGTAAGATTCTTCAGCTCATTTGCCACCTCAAAGGGGACTAGATGACCTTTCTTACAAATTAAAATAAACATGTGTCTAAGTTACTAGGAATAAACTAGAAGCAATGGGTTTAGAATTCAAACTTCTATGCTATCATCAGTTAAAAATAGGGAAAATTGAGTTTGTCAGCCAAAAAAGAATAAGGAAGCATTTGAATTTCGGCTTTGGTTTTTGCATCAGTGATGTTGAGTGTCTTTCTCTAAGACAACATCCAAGTCTCCCACAAACACATTTTAAACATGAGTGTTTCTTTCCAGTAATTTTCTCTCATGGAGCAATACTCAGGATAGAGATCATGAAGAGCAAATTGGCATTACATGAGATATGGAAGTGATAATCAAACCAACCAATGTTCCAAACAGTTTCTTGAAAATAAAACAAATAATTACCACAAACATGTATACATGTTAACACATCCACAGATGTTCCGAACAGTTTTGAGTCCGAACTTGTTGAAAACTCACCCTTCATTATTGCAAAAACCAAGTCTCACATGGGTTAAAGATAAGGCCTGACTAGAGGTTATAAAGAGTAACACTCCTGACCTTATAAGCCAATTTTGTAAAGTTGAGTTGATTTAGGCGCAACCTAAATTTTAATCTGATATAAGATGCTATCCTATATCTTTGTTGGGTTTCCCGCATCACCCAAGCTTCAGGGCCTGAGCACTAGGGGATGTGTTGGGAAATTGTGCCTTCATCACGATCCGCCCCTAGCCGCTTAATTACACATTTGGGTTGGCCTTCATTGTGTTGGGTGTGAAAAGGTGAATTTAGTCTCACATTGCCTAGAGATATGGTTTGTGTAGTATTTATAAAGTTTGGGAAGCTCTCATCTTTCAAACAGGTTTCATAAAGTTGAGTTAGACCCTACTCAAATTTTAATATGGTATCAGAGTCTAGCTTACTAAAATTTATAAAGAATGACACCCAAACCTTACCTTACAAACCAATTTTGTATGGTTGGGTTAGGCTCAACCAAATTCTATGACAATTTGTCATAGATTTGAAATGAATAGTTTCTAATATAATTAATATGCAAAAAAAAAATTCCATCTCTGACACTTTCTATATTTGAAATTTTGTATCTAATGTTTTCTGTTATGTCAACTTCACCCAAACTTCCCTTACAGTCATAACTTCATAATTATATAAGTGACAAAGATTATATGCTACTGGCAAGTAATTCAATGTCATGGTACAACACCATTTCCCCTAGATGCTCCCACAACTTACTAGTAAGTTCCGTACTTACAATAAAAATGCTTAATGTTACTACTAGGTACTAACTCTTCAGTTAAAGAAAAATGTAGTTGGAAATGCAAATGGTCTACATCTACTTCAAGAGGCTTGCTCGGCAAATTGAAGAAGTTATTTTAAATAGTGATAGCAATTGTTAAAATTCTCACGTCGGACAATATATGACCTGAATATGTGCTTATAAGTGGGGACAGTCTTCACCCTACAAATCGGTTTTGTAGGGTTGAGTTTGTCTCAACCACATGTATTAACATGATACCAGAGCAATAGTTAAGCTCGGTGGGGGAGCGAAAGTGATATCCTAATATGAATAAAGGCTAGCGATGTGGGTGATTCACCCTTGTAGAGGAGATTGTTGAATTCAAATGTGAGTAGTTAAGTCCCACATCAACTAAAAATGGTGGAAACATTGGATTTATAAGAGAGAGGACCCATATACTCGAAGTCTTAAGGTTTTTGATGGATATGTGATGTCAAGATATTTTTGGATCTTGAATGTTTAGCACATTGACACTTTCAACGCTCCCAGACTCCCAACAAGGGGTATCAGAGTTTTCTTTAAGATCCGATGGACCGCCCGCTATCAGGTTTCCACTATCGGACTACCCACCATTTATTTTCACTCTCCAAATGTCTAATTCTGGGCATGATGGGGCTTGTTAAGAGTCTCACGTCGAACAATATATGACTTGAACATGTGCTTATAAGTGGGGGCAATTCTCACCCTACAAGACTATCGGACCACCCACCATTTATTTTCACGCTCCAGATGTCTAGTCTTAGGCGTGAGGGACATGCTAATAGTCTCACATCGGGCAATATATAACATGAACATGTGCTTATAAGTGGAGCAATTCTCACCCTACAAGACTATCAGACCACCCGCCATTTACTTTAATGCTCCAGGTGTCTAGTCTTGGACGTGAGGAACATGTTAAGACTCTCACATCGAACAATATATAACTTTAACATGTGCTTATAAGTGGAGATATTCTTATCCTACAAACCGGTTTTGTATGGTTGAATTATGCCCAACCATATTTCTTAACAACAATGAGAGAGAAAATTGATTAGAAGGAATGAACGTACATTGTGCATGAGTGTTATTTCTGCTGAGTGTTTCCGTGTAAGATTCTTCAGCTCCTTTGCCACCTCAAAATCAGGGTCACTTTGCTCCAACCAGCAACACTTCATCTTTCTCTTAGGCTTTATTGGCCTGTCATCAAACATTTCCATTACCGAAGGACGAGCTCTTACGGGCCGTGGCATCCCTGTCATCATGAAAGGATACTGCTTAATCATAGCTTCTACTTCCTTCACCTTCTTGGCAGAATCCAATTCCACCAATGCACATAGTGGCAGACTGCTTGTGCCTAGATAGTTCGGGATAAAGCTGACACTTTTAACAAGTGCAAACTGTTCCAGAGCACTTCTAATCACAGACTCAGTAACTTGCGGTGACAGGTTGTCAAGGTACACTGTCCTTTTAACTTTCTCTTCAAAGGCAGCATACTCTTCAGCTGATGATTCCATGTATCAAGTGAATGAAACCTAAGAATAAAAAAACCCAACTTTAGGGTACAAACAAGTGAATGGAACTAAACATTAAGTGGTAAAAATCCAGCAAGGTTTTAAAAAACAGTCATTTGCCGCAAAAAATGGCCGCGATAAAACACTATCAGAAGGTGCCAATACCGATACTGTTATTTACCGATCTGGTGATAAAGAACAAATTGTAATTAATTCACACCGCGACAACTACAATCAATGTCGCAACACTTGTACAACCAAAATCGCGAAAGCCTTTACGCCTCAGCGACCATTATTGAAAACCTTCACAAACAGTACATGATGAACAATCCCCTATGAATTGAAGCCAAATGAACTAACAACAAAGCTGAAGATATTATACTATAACCAGGTCAAAAATCAATCAAAAATAACAAAACTAGGTAAAAATCATTCAATGAAAATACCAAAATCCATTCAAAGAACACAAAAATCCTAAACATCAAAAACCCTAATTCACATGTCATGGTGCAGAGATAGAATTTCAATCGCCGGTTTAGCGAAGTGCAGAGTGGCCGCAAACCGAGGTGGAATCGCTAGAGGGGGAGGAAAATACGAGAAATGAAAAAACCTGATCGGAATTCTAGGGTTTCCTCCCGGCGGCGAATGACGAGCTCCGTCGGTTTAGTTTTCCGGCAAGTTGAGTTCAGTTCGAACGGAACTTGTTTCTGGTATACAAGGACAAAGATGCGTTTCGCATTTGAAGCTGTTAAGAATAAAATGCATTTGTGAAAGAAAAAAACAAAGGACCAATATAGAAGTCTAAGGTGAATTTTAGAATTTTTTTTATTAATAACCATGTATTAAAAAAAATTTCACAAATAACCGCGTTTCGAAAAAAATTACGCAAATAATCATGTTTCAGATGACTCCCTAAAAGAGGAGCCATCTGAATTGGCGCATGCACCCAATTTTTAAGGGGAGACACCATCTCACTTGGCGCCTATGTGCTTAGGGCATGCCCTAAGCCAAGTGAGATGGCACCTAGGTGTTATTTTAGGGCAAAATGTGATTTTTTTTTTGTCCGGTGCGTTGCGTGTTGGATACAGGATCAACAAAATGGACTTTTTATTAAAAAAATAATAATTACATCCAACTGTATTACATTAAAATAACAGATTAAAAAAATAGATAAAAAAAAAACGGATAAAAAAATACAGGAAAAAAAACAGATAAATCAGTGATCTCCCGGAACCCGGTAATGTCCCCCGGTTCCGCATCCCCGTCCTCGCCTTTCTCGTGCTAGGTGTCGTCGCGTTTCCTGCTGCGGCAAGGTCGATGGCCCAGCGAAGTCAATGCAGTCCGGATCCATAAAATCAGTTAGATCTCCATATCTAGAAGATCCGCTTTGGTACAGTCGGTTACCCATACCCTCAAAGTTTGGTCGTGTTGACGGTGGGTGGGGTTCCATAGTGGGTCGGTAGCATTGGTCGTCTGAGTACGGTGGGTAGAAAGGAAATAGATCTTGGGGTGTTTGGTATTGAGGATGTTTGGTGGTTTGGTGATATTGTGGTTGATGGTAGGCTGGGTCGGTTTGTTTGTAATCTTCCGACATTCCTATATCAGGGCTAAGGCTGGATGTTGAGGGGCCCATATTGGGATATACGGAAGACTGAAATTGTGTGTGGGGTATGAGGGTGTGCTGGTATTGGGATTGGTATTGTGGTTGGGTGTGAGGCATATCGGGGTATTGGTAGTGTGGTGGTGATTGTGGTTGGTTGTGTGACATTTGAGTGTAATTGTGTTGTGGTGGGGACTGTGGTTGGGTGTTTGTGGGTCTGTTTCTTCTTGGGGGTTGGTGGGAGGTTGATGGGTTTTGGGTTTGTTGTTGGGGAAACGAGGGTTGTGCTCATTGTGTGCGTGGGTCAACCAAGTACCTTGGATGAGACACGTGCATTTCAGGGTTACTAACCGACCTGTACCAAGACAAATATTGATCCGTGTGTCGCATATTACCTTGATTAAGGAAAACCGGGAATTGCAAGACATAGCGGTGACGCCTCTGCCACATCTTACACCATTTTGGAGCGAAGTCTTTCCAGTTGGTAAGATCCCACTGGGCGTCGACCCTTTTAAGATGCCATGGGGACAAACAAGTTGGATCACTTGGTATCTCTTGATGCATTCCGAACTGCATCTTCACACGGTCATTGTGGTGCATCTCCACAATGTTGAACTGAATGATTGCAGTCTTCGCGATCCAAGTTATTGCATCCTCCGGGTTTGGATCATGGCCCAAACCCAAATATGGTCTCCAGACGAACTGCGATAAAACTTAAATCAGGTTAACGCAAAAGTAATGTATAAATAATTTAAATGAAGAAAAGTTAAAAGCTACGACGTACGTCATCCGGGCCTAAGTGATCCAACAGATTGCGGTAGAGTGCGACATTGAATCTTGGATTCTTGCCATAATCCATACCCCTCACACAGTACTTAAAGGAAATGAAAAACATTTTATTCTTAGCATATATTTGGGGAAGAGATGAATAGTAATAAATGCTATAACTTGATGACTTACTTTGTTGCGTACGGGAAACCGAAAGTGTTGTTGTTGATGGGGTTTAAGGACTCCATCCTCCACCAACCTCAGGCTTGTAGTAAAAAAGCGCAACCATAAAATGTACATTTTTCCTTGACTGCATTTTTGCATAAAGAACTGTATAGGTGGGCTAAAACTGCAGAACCCAAACTATATTTTCTTGTTTTTTCAAAATTTCTTAGTAAATGTAAATACATAAAATTTATACTATTTCCCGTACTTTCAGGAAATAAAAAGGTACCAAATAGTATCATAAGATAAGTTCTGGCTTTTACTACCCTGTCATTCTCGGAGGAATTTTCGTTTAATTCTAAACTTGCATAATGACTTTTCAGCTCAGTGAATAGTATTCCCTGACCTCTCGCACCACCACCTTCCACCATATCCCTGCCCAACAGTTCTTCACACTGAGAGTTGGGTTGTTGAAACGACTCGTTCACGGCCTTACCGTCGACAGGGAGACCTAGTAGCATGTACACATCCTCTAGCGTGATGGTACATTCACCTATTGGTAGGTGAAATGTATGGGTCTATGGTCTCAACCTTTCCAACATTGCAAGAATGAACCTCGAGTCAATAGTGCAGTTGGAGATCTTTATGACATGTCCAAAACCTGCGTATTCCATATATGGTACGATAAATGGGTCGGGAGCCAGGTAGTTGTGAGAACGGATTCTGAATCTTTTTGTGTCCTGAGTTCATAATGTAACATGTGTAAGATTAAGTAAGACGAACAACGCATTATCTGAAGTATGAAAAATGTATAACCAAAATAGAAACTTACAAATGCGGCAATATTTTCCCTTGTGCCTCTGTGAGTATCGCCCATTGTTAGAAGATCCATTGTTTAAAATGCTTGAGATTATGAAAGACTTAGGAAGAGATAGAGAGTATGAAATATTTAGGAAGAGATAGAGAGTGTGAAAGACTATGAAAGATTTCGTAGCAGAGAGTGAGACTTGTGTGGGTGTGAGAGATGTATGATATGGTATGTATTTATAGGCAAATAAATTTCATATAGTGGTTGCTGGTGCTTGCATGCATGCGAAGTGTCACTCTTGCAGGCTAGGTGGCAGCCTAGGGGGTTACATATATGCATGCATGTATGTACAAAAAATGAAAGGTGTCACTCTTGCAGGCTAGGTGGCAGCCTAAGGATGTATCACGATTGGACAGTAAGGGAGGCGCCATTTGACTTGGCGAAAGAGTACAAAAATGAATGGTGTTGTCACCCCCAATTGGCGAATAAGAGGTGTCCTTTGTTACAGGCTAGGCTCAGGCTAGGTGACAGCCTTTGAGATTCCTTGCCTGAATGCATGTAAGCCCATTGGAGGTGATGGGAGGGGACTTACAACATACAGTATAGGTGCAGAGTAGGCGCAGGCTAGGTGGCAGCCTAGGGGGTTACATATTTGCATGCATGTATCACAATTGGACAGTAAGGGAGGCTTCATTTGACTTGGCGAAAGAGTACAAAAATGAATGGTATCGCCACCCCAATTGGCGAATAAGAGGTGTCCTTTGTTGCAGGCTAGGTGATAACCTTTGGGATTCCTTGCCTGAATGCATGTAAGCCCATTGGAGGTGATGGGAGGGGACTTACAACATACATTATAGGTGCAGAGTAGGCGCAGGCTAGGTGGCAGCCTAGGGGGTTACATATTTGCATGCATGTATCACGAGTGGACAGTAAGGGAGGCGCCATTTGACTTGGCGAAAGAGTACAAAAATGAATGGTGTCGCCACCCCAATTGGCGAATAAGAGGTGTCCTTTGTTGCAGGCTATGCTCAGGCTAGGTGACAGCCTTTGGGATTCCTTGCATGTAACACTATTGGCAGCCTTGGGGGTTGCATCCTTACTTAATTGAATTTTTTAGTCTTGCGTTTATCATAACATTCATTCACTTAATCTGTCAAATCTTCCAACCTTCAAACGTTCTTACAATCAAACCTTCAAACCTTCAAACAATCAAACACATAAACTTTCGAATCACTCATAAATTTCAAACATTCCAACCTTCAAACCTTACAGCATTCAAACCTTCATACAATCAATAAACCTCAAACATTCCAACCTTCGAATCACTCATAAAATTCAAACATTCCAACCTTCAAACCTTAAAACAATTCTACGCAATGGCCTCTGCACCACAATTTGTCGTCAAAGCACATTTCAACGGTGAGACATACATTTGTCCCACCGCTGGGTTTTTGTTTAGAGACACAGACAACATCCAATTTCTCTTAAACGGGAAAGCCAATTTCTCGTACTTCAAAAAAAGATTGGAGGTCAAACTTGAACGAGGCCCGGTGTCCCAGATATTTTATCAGAATCCAGTTTTCTTTGGAAACAACCAAGTAATTTTTTATAAGGTTGAAGTTCAAGATGACGAGGATCTCCAGAATATGTTTTCCAGCCATG